TAGGTTTTAAATGCTCAACAGGCTGCATTAACTTGAAGCATATTTATTATGTTAACATTTCTTAAAGGGAAAGTGTTTATTAATGTTGAGCTGCATAGAAAAAGTAAATTTTATTGTCTCAGTGATGGTGGTGCTGATTGTTTCTATGCAGGCACTTTCTGAATTATTCACATTCAATATACATGACTTAGATATACAGCTTGCTGCTCCTTTGCCTTGCAGAACTACATGAGCTTTTACAAATAACATTGCAAACTTTATCAATAAATGTCTTTCCATGATACTAGGTGAATAGTAGATGTTAAAGGAGTAAGTACGCACATCTTTATTTACATTTCCTGATAGTGCTTTTGATTGGAGTGTTAGGCAAAAATCTGATTTAGTTATCCCCCCCCACCCTGTTGTAACTGTTCTACTTTGTTTTTGTTTTGAGTACCAGAGATCGAATTCTGGCCCTTGCACTTGCGAGGCAGGTGGCAGAACCATTGAACTAAATCCCTGTCCTCTATAACCTCTAAACCCCTTGTAAGCAAGTTGAGTACTGGTTTCATAACCATAGTGGGCCTGGAGACAGTAATTGATTTTTGGTATTAATACGGATCACATTTTTTCATTTGCTTCTCTTTTGAGAATGAATCAAATGAATAATTGTATTAACTAACATTTTTATATTGCTGCAATCTCCTAAATCTTAATTTATTTTTTAAGCTCGATGTGGACAATATAGTTCTCTCACTGTTGGATGTAAATCTCAATAAGAATAAAAGGTCTGTGTCTTCTGGAAGGATAGCTACATTTGTAACTGAATCGATACTGAATAGAATAATTGGTGATTTTATTAAGGCTTTCCATATAGCTTCATTCCTGGAGTTATGTTCAGAATGGAAACTCTAGGGAGCACATGTAAATTTAGGGTTTCTGGAGATGAAAATATTGTAAGCTTATAGTTTAAGGAGTTTATAATAGTGTTGGCAAAGGGACTGCATTTTGTTAAACTTGTTTTGGCTGTTAAAGAAGATTTTTCAATTCTGTTTTGATAAACAGTTTTGTGAAATCAATGAAACTTGATGGCTTAAGCATCGTCTTGTATATATTGCCTGATTGTAAAATCAATTGACAAATGGAAGTTGTGAGACATTCACTGAAGGCTTTATGAAGAGAGGTGCAAATAATTTTTATGCATCTGTTCAAACTAATTCTTTAAAAATCAGTCTGTCTTTCGAGATAAAAGTTATGATGAACACAGTATTGATTCTAGATACTTTGAATCAGACATAAATACAAGGGAATGCTTACTGAGATAAAAAATATTTCCTAAATTAAACAGTCTATAGAAAAGAATCCAAACATTAGAATGTTTGGAGAATGAAGTAATCTGATTAGCTAGATTTTCTGTTTATGGAAGGATATCAGTTTTGTTGAAAAATATTTCTAAACATAATTATTTTAATTTTGCTTCTTTAATAAGGATTATAGAAAGCAAAGCTGATCATTTATTGAACAGTGAAAGATTTTTTGAATTGAGGATCACTTTCTGAATACCAATTTTAATTACTTTAATATCTAATAAATGAATATTATTTAATGATAATTTCTTGGAAAGCATTGTGCCTTATAGCTCAGCAGACACAAAATAATGACAGATGTATTGCATCTGTCTTCAAAGAGTTCATAGCATTTTATTGGTGTTTATACTGTAAATAGATTAGTAAAATATAGGGCAGCCTATGTCCATTATGAATTTAAATGAAATTGTTTTGAATGAACATCAACAATAAAAATTTACTACAAATTTAAAACTATTCAGATTCAAATAACTTTATATATCCTTTTCCCACATGCAGAATGGGAAACATGAAATAATATCTATGTATTGCAATTACAGTAATAGGTGTGAGTGCCAATCTGTCTCAGTTTGTATAGCAAAGGTCAGAATACACTAAACATTTTGGATATCTTTTAACTAGATCATTACATAGTAAATTTTTAGTATGTTACATTAAAATGTGAGATTAATTTCAAATCAAAGAAGCTAGTACAATATGAGTTGCACAAAAGTTTCAGTGTAGCATTGGTTATGTTTTCAGTATGGTGCATAAAGTTTATTGACTATAGTGGTGTGCTTTTTATTTATTTTCAGGAGTGGTTGCATCAAAATAGAAGTTTGTTCACTTGGAATTTAATAATTAAAATCTTTATTTCATAAAACTATATAATAATGCCTCTTCTCAACAGATATTTTATAAGTTTATAAAAAGTTTTTAAAACTTTTCTAAGGACAAAATAATAAAGATCTGGACTAAGTATTTTTCCAAGAGAGGCTTTCATATATAATGAGAAAAATCCTGGAATTAGATCTTGACTGATAAGGAATTTGTACTCGAATCAATTGTTTCATGTCTTCCTGCTTGTGTTGAATACTATTGCAGTTCTCAAAAGAAATTCGTTATTCTTATTTATTCATTTTAATCAGGGAAACTCTATAGAACCAATAAAATGTTCAGGTGATGAAAAATAAATTTTGTTTTATTATGAATTCAACAAACTTCCAAAACCAGGCAGAATAAGTGAAATTACTTAAGATGTAAAGCATATAATTTATTTAGAATTTACTGGTCATTTGTCCTATCTGTAGTATTTTAGCAAATAGAACCAATGTCACCATCATCTTGCTGTTAATAATAATAGCACAATGGAGCACAACAGTTGTTTAAAAATCCTGCTACTTTTAGCTTATTTCTCAGCCATTTTAAAATGTGTCCCTTTACTGTGGACCAACATGGTGGTTCATTTTTAGTTGTCATATCACTATTCGTGGCAGTAGGCTGGATGAAAGCATAAAGGAAGCAAAATTAGGTTTCAGATATGCTTTAAATAATGTTCTGGGAAAGTGACACACAACATGTTAGAGCTTATTCCACTGTACAAACTTATGGCCAAAGAAAGGAGAGCAAAGTGTAATCTATGTTTTGAGTGACTATATTTATCAGCTTTCCCTTTGCTGGACACAGTAACTGATACTCACACCTATAAAAAAGAGGCCAGGTTTAATTCAGCTTTTGTTTAAAGGGGATTCCTTCCATGGTCATCTGTCTTCAAGGCAGAAACATCATAGTAGATGCGTGAAGCAGAGCTATTTAGTTCGTGTCATCCAGGAAGCAGAGCAGGGGAACAGTACCAGAGAGGAAGGAAGACCACAGGAAGACCCTAAGACCACAGCTCTATGACCTACCACAACATGCTCGGAACTGTGCTTCATCCATCCATCCATCCCCAGCCGCATCCCAAAGCCAATCAAGTCAGCACTCCAGCTTACCTGCCACAGAGGCCATATGTCCAGGTGCAAAGTGTGCAGTGTCGCGAGATCCAGGAAGAGGAGAATGAATATCAGATTGTAGCCATCCTTGCCTGTGCACCCGACGTTATTAGTACACAAAACTTCTTTCTGAAAGGCAACAAATGAGTTTTCACATGGTCTCTTGGGACTTGGCAATTAGCAGAGAGAACAGGAAGGGTAGATAGAAAGTGATCAGCTGATAGGACCCCAGAGGGAGAGAAAGGAAGTAATTTTTAACATTTATTTAAATGTGTAATTTCAGAGAAAAATCATCTAAAGAATATGTATTGTTTTCATAGAGCTGCTATAATAAAGTGTCACAATACATGGCTTAAAGCAGCAGCAGTCTATTCTATTATGGTTCTGGCAGTTGGAAATCCCAAAACAAGCAGGGCCATACTCTCTCTGAGACTCTTGGCAGAATCCTTGGCATTCCTTGGCTTACAGTAGCATCACTCAACTCTGTGTTTTCAGTTCTAGGGCTTTTCTCTTTGTGTTTTTGCATGTGCATGGGCTATTTCTGTGCTTAAAGGAAGATCTGTATCATATTGGATCAGAGCTCACCCTGATGGTCTCATCTTGGTTACAAAAGACCTTTTCCAAACGTAGTCACAGTGTTAGTTTTCTGGTTACTACATCAAATACATGAGATCATTAATTTGGAAAGAGAAAATGTTTATTTTGGCTCATGATTTCTGTTCCGTGTCTTTAAAATTATTTGCACATTGTATTTTTGTTTTAAATTCAGTGTATGTTATATAACGTGAGGAAGATTATTTACAATCTATTTTAATTTTACATTCTAAGAGTCGTACTATAATTTTATTAGTCAAAGATTAGAATCAGTATACAAATGATAAAGATCATATACAGTTAGATATAATAAACCATGAGGAAGAATTAAACTCTGGCTCTAGAACACAAAAATATCAACACACAAAACACACCTAGGTGAGTACACTCATATGCTCACAGAAGATTAAAGACTACCTCCATTAAAGATGGAAGACTGAGAAAACTTATTGTTAGTCCATTATACTTCAGAACACTCATGAACATATACTGTGATGAACCAGCTGATATAAATACCTTAGATTTTGTTACTCATCTTGTTTGTAGTATATGGAAAAATATTTTGAACTAAGTTGTTTAACATATATTTTGAAGAAGGAATTCTTAAGGTCTTACAGACATAACAATCAAAAATTTAGACAGCTTATTTTACAAAGACAATAAATATTTTTAAAACAAAATTGTTACTGTTATCTCTTGATTGTGATTTATTGACGTCTGCCACTTACTCTCCAGAAAAATAAAATATTACAAATCCTAAAGAAAAAATGTTTAAATGAAAGCAAATGCATTTATATGCTTCATATGCTCAGAGCAATTAGATTTTTAAGTTTATTTTCTTAAAAGATAAACTTATAGTATTTCTGTGGAAGCCATTCCCTCTTACTCTCTGGCTAGCATGTGTAATTTGGGAATATAAAAGTGAAGGTATTTATCAGTAGGAGGACATATAACATTTAGGGATGTTTGAAATATTTTAATGCAGGGGATTGAGGTAGACTGTTGTGGAGGATACTTTCATTGTGTATGTCATGAAAAGGTTCTATAACTTCATGTGTATCTTTTGTCTTCTCAGTGTGTGCAGGAACAGAGAATAAACTCAGCTCTCTCTCGGACCTGGAACAGCAGTACCGAGCCTTACGAAAATACTATGAGAACTGTGAGGTGGTTATGGGCAACCTGGAGATCACCAGCATAGAGCACAACCGGGATCTCTCCTTCCTGCGGGTAAAGCTCTCTCTCCTTTCTCTGTGGGTTGACGGTGGTGTGGAAAGTGAGACGCGCTTGCTTGAACCTCGTAGTTATGTTCTTCTGCCTGCTGTAATGATAGGCAGAAGATAAGTGGTGCAGAAGAATATCCAGAAAAAGAAAAAGTGTGGCAATGCCATGATGACTGAGCCCCACCTGTGTGTGCAGCAGCTGCTGTCTCCATGAGATTGGTTAAGTGTTCTGTCGGGGTGTAGTACACATATTTTGCCCATCCAGCTTTTTTCTGACAGGTTGAGTACTAAGAGGATCAGAGGATCAGTCAGATGAGGATTGGTGGCTTTAGCCATTCATCTGTTTTGCCCTATTTTCATCACTTTGGACTTTTTAGTCTATATCATATTAGCATCAGGAGACTAACACTGAAAGAAAACGAGGAATCAGTTTTAGAAAGCCTATGAATGATTTAATGTTGACTAATGAGAAATCACATGTACTTACATAGACAGATAAATGTACCACACAGATGGGTATGTGTGTGTATGAAATTATTCTGAGACAATCATTCCTTCTGGACGCTTCATTGTGCTCTCATTTAACCTGACTGGTAGCAGGCTAACAATAGCAGTTCAAGTTCTGCTTTAACTGCAACAGTTACAGGAAAATCTGAATGTCAAAAGGACTGTGCCAAAATAGATTAGGGTGTGGTCTTTGTAGGAATTTACTTTTATACAAGAATTACTAGATGCATTTTCAACAATAGGATCCCTGGAATATATGTATTGTTCAATAATATTTAAATATTATCAAAGGAGCACTGGCTTATATAAATCAGAATTAAATGTTCCAAGTATGAATATAATAAACTGAGGGAGAGTAAATTATTTTAAAAACTATGATACTCAATATTTTTTATCTTAGAAGAGCAGTAAAAATGCTACTTAAATATTCTTGAAAAATACATCTAGAATTAGTAGTAAACAGAAAAGTACCCACCTGAAAATATAAGTAACTCTATTTAGCTTAAGATTTCTTTTTTTAAAATGATACTTTTATTATAGCTAGTTAGGTGAATGAAGGTTTTTTAAATCCTATTTCTTGGTTGATGGAATTCTGGTTTCACAGGTGCCAAACTGTTTCAGTAGTTGTAATTTTTAATTGTGAAACCTTTATTTATCAAAAGTAGATGGTAAAAGTTGGATCCTAGAGAGTGTGTTGACACTTTTTTGGTGGGCGGTGCTGGTTTTAAAAGAGAATACATACAAGTAATCCTATAATAACATATATAAGAAACTCAATGACATTCCTAATGGAGAATGCTGAATTCTGAAAAAGGGGAATGAAATAGTTTAAATAGTCAGTAGATCATAACAATATGAGAAAATATGTTCAAGTGTAGTTTAAAGATCTCTGATTTCCTCTTTATGTGTGCTTTGCTTTGCTTTCAATACATGGAACTAGCTACCACCTCCAAAATAGTTCTGAATATTGAAAATGATAGTCTTTTTTTTCTTTTTATTGAGTTTATTGGTACAATCTAGGTATACAGTACAGTTACATTCATCATTGGAATCCTGCACCTTGACATAGTAGGTCTTGATTCTCATTTTTTCCCCTTGTCCCTGCCCTCCCTTCACCTCCTCCTCCCCTCCCTATTTACAAACACTTTATTTCCATTTTTTCAGTTTCTCATATTTTTTTCCTCTCCCTTATTACCTTTCCCCCACCCTTCCTACTTTCCCTGCACCTTTAGCCCTTTACTTCCTATTTCTTGTTATTAATTATCTCAGGATCCTGTGTACTATTATAGTTTTACACACCAGAGAAACGATTCGGTATTTCAGTTAAAGACATCTCTGTATGAACATTAAAAATAGGGAATCCTAAAATAAAACTAAAAAGGAAAGTAAAAGAGAAAAGGCAATGATGTAACATTAAAATAATCCTTAATTCTGGAGATGAAAATGGTCCCTTAACATATTTAAATTGCTTCTTGCTTTTGTAGTCTTATCTTATCTTTTTTTCATTATTTAGAGAATACTTTATTAGTTTCTGTAATAAAACCCACATAGATATGACCTTACATATTTAGTACAATGCATTACCTCTGTACACATGGAAAAAAATAAAAAATAAAAATTTAAAAAATTAACATTTCCAGACCAATATGGCTGTCAATTTCTGTACAATGCCAACTCAACACAGTAAATTGGGATAACTTTTTCCAAAGTTGACAGCACCGTTAAAGTTTCCCAAAATGATAGTCTTTAAGTGAAATTAAAAATCCCTTTTACCTTTTATAATCCTTAATATCATAAGTGACAGAGTAGAAAAATGAAAGCTATATTTTAATCAATATTTAACAATCTTTAATCAATATGTAATACCTATAATATGAAAGTAGTATGGAGATGTTTGAGCAAAATTGTCTATACTAGTGACTATGTAACTTTTTTAGGAATCTATTTGAACTAAAAAAAATAAGGTATTAGAATGATTTAGAAAGAATAAGGTAAGCAAGACAGGGAAAAATAATATTTTTACCTGGAACAAGAAAAAAATAATTGCTATTTCCTAAGTCACATCTGTGAAAGTTCATATAATCTGTATTAACCCCTCATATATCTATATTTTCTATTTCTTTCTATATAAAGATAACCGTAATAGTTTTCTTTGCTAAGTGTGAACTTCTGTGATTTGATGCATATTTCTCTCTATAGAAAATAATCATTTGCAATTACGATATGTATTCATGTATTCAAAAATTGATTATAGCTCAAGATATATTAGCAAGTAGTCCATTGTTCTTGATTTCAACAGTGTTGGTTGAAATGTAGCAGAGATGTGTAATGCATAGCTACTATATATGCATGTGTGTACAATGTCAATATTACAGATACATGCAGACATGCATCTTTTTTTTTTTTTTTTTGGTACTGGGGATTGAACTCAGGTCCTTGCACTTGCAAGGCAGGCACTGGAACCACTGAGCTAAATCCCTGGCCCCAGACATTCCTCATTTAACAATAGACGGCTGTTCCTGCAACTAAGTCATTAAATGAATTAGCCTAAATGAGGATGTGTATAAGAGGTACATTAAAACATTTAGAACAAAGAAATGGTGAAAGGAAACTCCAACTTGATAACTTTGCTTTTATTTGCATAGCTTTTCCATGAAGTACTGTAACGTGTAACAAGACATGGACTGTAGTACTGTACTGTACAGTACAACCAGCAATAATTACAGTAGTGTACTGCAGAAGGAGCCACCGTAAGGCTGCACTCCTGCTCACATTCCTGCATTGTAAGTCTGGGTGCAGGTCTTGAGGCCCAGCGGTGGGTGGCATGCCTCAGTCATAGTCCATACAATCATTAAACAGATGGGTCATTAAATGAGGAAAGGAAAAAAAGTATGTATGTTTATAGTTGCTAAGACACAAATAAGAGCCTAGAATCATAAAGTTGTTATAAATTTAAGTGTGTAAGGTTATAGTTTCTAAGACAGAAATAAGAGCCTGGAATCATAAAGAAGGTCTTGAGTTATTAGTAAGTATGAGCGAGGGAGAAAGGAAGCAGTGGTTACTTCTGAAGGATTCTGGGAAGGGTTCATCAGAGAGGTGCTTTAACTGAATGGTGAGAAAATGAATAGGAGGTGAGTGGATTGGAAGAGGAGGACATTCTAATGGCAGTAGTTAGTATAAGTTAAAGCTTAGAGGAAAGGCCCAAAGTCAGAGTTAGGTCCTGAGTGTATAGTGTTTCAGACAGTGGGTATATACATGCAGATAAATCGCATATGTGTTTTCCCTCAAGGAATCTACAGTGTAATGTACATGAAGAGAGGATTTGAAGATGGGATACAACATTACAGTGGAGAAAGTCTTATCCTGTAGATATTTATAAAATGTCAGCACTCAAGTGACATGTTAACATTTTGGAATTAGATAATATAATAAAGGGGATTTGAAAAGAGTTAGATACAGAAGCGGACCAAAGGCACTACACTCCAGTTGCTTCTTTCTTATTTCCTTGGTGATCACGGAATTATAACTACCTTCTTAACGAGTCCTGAAAACAGAGAATGTTTGCCAAAATCTTCATTATACTACACTACTGGATGAGCCATTATTTCAAATTACACCTTGGAATATACTAAAAGCAGTCCATTTAATATAAAATTTATTGAAATAACAATATGGCTCATTAATTCTATTAATAGCCTCCCTCCAAAATAAGTAATGTGGTATTGGCAAATCGTAATAAGTAGACCTCATGTAAAGAAGATCTAGTTATTTTCCCACTATCCTATTATTTCTTACAAGTTTTGAATTATATAAAGGAGCAGTAAACCTGCATAAGCCTATTCTGTGGTTCACATCTCTCTCAGTTATATTAATGTAACCAGGATTCAATGGACCACGTTTTACAACTTTAAAGAGGTTTCACAATTTCCTCTAAGAATGACCTAATTCTATGTGTTTAGAGAGGTACCATGGTTAGTGATCTTAAATTTCATTCTGGATTTATTTCGGCCTTTATAAGCTTATAAATTACTTTTGTTTTAAAGCAATTTTTCCACCTTTATTTTCATCTCTAACAAGGTAGGAATATTTTGTTTTGTTGTTTTGCATGAATCACTCTTAACTTCTGTGGTACATGAGATCAATTTACCCATGTATCCTCTTTATCTTATTTACTTTCTGCATAGTAATTATTTAGAGTAGTAACTGAGATACAGTGTGGTATTTTTGAATGGCAAATGAGTGGGTATTTTCCTTAAATTATCCAGCCACGTTTTATATGTGCCATGTTCTCTAAATGAGCAGGTGAGTGTGTCTTCAAAGTCATGTTATTTCATTGTGACCGCATTATGGACCAGGTTTGTGGGGATGAGATATGACGTGGTTCAATAGCAGTCCCTCCCCATCAGAATTTGTAACTAAGCATTCCCCGTCTGTATGAGTTGGTCTCTTTGTCCACTTGAATACCTGAACACGGTCATCTTTTGTCTTGTAGTCTGAGCG